TTATATTAAGCCCTTTGGTTATGAATGTATTCAATTTATATGCCCAAAAACCCCTCCCTCTTAATAAGCTCCCTAATATTATAGTCTTGTCAGTAATCATGACACTCAGTGAGTTCTTCACCCACTTTCATACAGCCTATGACTACTCTTATGATTATTAAATCTATACCGGAATGCCGTTATAGTACTACCTATTTTTACAGCTTTAAACATTTCTTGCTCCTAATCAAATAAACCACCCCCTCACAATCAAAGGAGTAAGTCATCCAATAGTTGTGCCCGTCATGCTCAAAACTTTCGCCAACTTGTACAAACTGAGAGATCTGACAACGCTTTTTACCACACTTTTTCATTCCCTTTCCCCCACTATACAAGTCTATAATATTTGGTGAAACCTTAGACCTAAACAACATATCCGATAAGGTCTGCCATGGGTTTCTCAGCAGAAATCCTCAGAATGTTGCAAGATTGGCCAAAGTGAATCTATTATCTTACCCATCCCCGAAAACGGTGGATAAAATCAGGAATAATGAAGTGTTAACGTCGAGTGGAAATTATATACAATTTTAGACCTGACCGCTAAGAGCGGTTGCGAAAAATGCGACTACAGGCTCTCAGACAGGAATTGAACCTGCAGCCCTGTGATTCCAGTGCAGTGCTCTAACCAACTGTGCTACAGAGTCCAGTTGCTCAGCATTAACCGCAAAGTTCATGCATAGAGTTCATGTCACCTACTGTAAAAACAAATTCCAATTTGTTCTCAACAACAAAGACTTGTCGTGAAGTGAGTGAAAGGGACGTTACCAGTGCTCGCTATGCAATACAGTGAACTCAGAACAAGGTGGAAAATATGTGCTGTGTAAAAGGAAAGCTTTTTGGTACAACTATACATGCTCTGACATCGCTTTGGTCGACCAATTTGGCGCGCCGTTTTCCCTCTATTTTTAGACTGATAATTAATGTTTCCTATAATTAATGTAGAAAACAAATAACTTTACATAGACAATGTTCAAAGCGGCATATACCAAATGCCTGCACGTAGTCCAAAAACTTAATGATTTAACGTTATTATTATGAATTATTTTTTGAGAAAATATCCGCTACAGTTCTGCTATATACTGCGCACTGAATGGCAAGATCAGCAGTTCAGGTAACAAAAATAAACAGTTGTTATAAACGCGAGCTTGCAACGGAACAAATGTATTTATTTACTAACTTTGCCATCATCATGTATACCGTGATTGGTTGGGAAACCTCAACAGCTATTGCCAATTACTGTCGCCCCAATAGTACAGAAACAATTTACAAACGGAAAAGACTAAAGAAAGCACAGTTATTACACACACAAACACAATAAACAGTATTTGGACAATAGTCATTACAGAAAGTCTAGAAACAACATGCCAAAGAAAGAGGGTTCGTCATGCATAGCGTTATTCGAAATGAGAATACACTGAATCCATAGTAGATGTTTTTTTTATGAAGATGGGAAAACTTTACTGTCTCTAAATATATTGGTTAAATATTGTTATAAGCAGCTTAAATGTGCACGCGGATATGACGTCATAAGGATACTTAACAGTCCCACGACATTCATTGTTTCTGATAAACCTCCCGTGGTGCCATCGGGGCTGGCAGACAGGACATACACCTGGCTAGCTTTCTTAACTCAAATATAAATACAGCTAGCCTATTCACTCTTACAAGCAATATATGCCAGCTGACAATGAAATTCCATACTCCTAATGGCATCTTGAAAACTGTATAGGAGTTATTTAATTAAACAAGACACAAAATTATGGTGCTGATATTTCGATTCTATTTCAGGCTCATTATCAAACCAAACAATACAATGAGCCTGAAATAGAGTCGAAATATCACTATATCATTACCATGTCTTGTTCTTTAAATAGCCAATACCTTGCGTCTGATTTGGAATATGTTGTTTCTTATGCAATATACGCACTTGTAGGAAATTGCGACACAACTTACACACACTAGTCCTAGTCCTCTGGGCACGCGTTTTATCACACTGTATCACATAATCTTCCCGAAATGGGCCTATCCATAATATACTCAAACAAAATAGCTTCAACAAAAATACACATTGGGTTGTAAAGGTCAGGGTTAGGATAAGATTTTCGATTAAGATTAAAATGAAATGACGTATAGTGGGAAATTAAGGATTGTTCTTACAGTCAAGCAGCGCCCACTAAGTTGGCTTAAAAAATTTCTTCAACTCTTCGTCTCTTGCTGTCTGACGCTACAATTATGGAAATTAATTCGTAGACTATTGTCAATATTGAAAATTATTTCCCCTCGACCCTAATGTTGGCTTGTCGTCCAATAATCATGGTTTGAACCACATTGTACTAGCGGGAGAGGGGGGGGGGGCAGAGCGGGAGAGGGGGGTTACTCTTTCTAGCGATCATGCATGGACGTTAGTGTTATGAACTAAAAGTAAAATGTGGCTTTACAAAATAGTGAGATAACATACGTTTTAAAAATTAAAGTGTCTATGGATATTATTTCCACGATTGTAAATATCATTAACATGCTCATATCAATCACAATTGTTAAATTGAATACAAAACTTTGAGGTTTGGAACTGGTCTGACCAAAAATTGGCTCAAATGAGGACGAAACTTGATGAAGCTTCACACAAATAACGGAAATGTTTGACCATGCATGCAATAAAAAGTGCGCGGGGTGGCACTAGATGTCGGGCGCCAACATGTTTAAGAGCCAATTTTTTTCAATGTCATGTATTTACAATGAAAAGTGTTCAAAACCTAAAATCTTTTTGGTGTTCCTCTCAAAATTACTTTGTTTTAGCTTTATTCTCTAGTTTATACAGTTAGCTATACCTTTTTAAATGCATCTGCCGGTTGAGAAATAAAATAATAGTTAAAAATTGTCCGAATTAAAATACAATTATCAATGGTGCTTTAAAATTGACGCCGTATTTTTAGCCATATAAGCAAAACTTACTGAACTTCAGATATCATTTTCTCTTTGGCGTGTCATCTAAAGTCTCTTCATTTTAGCATTATTTTACAGATAAAGCACTAAACATACTTTTTAAGTTCATTTTCCGATCGAGAAATGTATTGGAAAATAAAAATTTTGAATTTAGTCATAACCTCAAGTGGTATATTATATACGCATTAGTTTTGAGCGCGTGTTACGTAACATACAAAAACATCTCCTCTTAATAGTTGCGTTTCAAATTTGACTACCGCTACCACTCACTGACTTAGTTCCATGACTCCCATCTGATTGGTTAACCGGATATATCAAACGCATCTGATTGGTTAATGGTCCCTTTAAGGTAGCGGTGTGGAAATAAAATGTGAACCTATGTATTATTCATAATCACTATACATAACTTCAAACTTTAAGTGAAAAGCTGTCGTATAAATGTTTTGATAACATTTCTGTGTGGGCAGTACTCAACATTCGGACAACATTATGGCTATATTGATAGGGAGTGATTTAAGGCAGTGTTGTAGGGTGCTCAACTCCACTTATGGTGAAATCATTTTTATTCTTATACACGTTTATCACCCTTTTTTGGCTAGTTCTTTCTTCTATATACTTGATATCGTTCTGATTATCTTTGAGCTGGGGGTTGTGTTACAGTAATGCAGAGGTGTACATTCGAAGTAGGCCTCTTCAGCTTTCCTTAGAGTGTTCTTTTGGGGGTAATAATTCCCCTTTTGTACGATAAAACAAAGGCAAAAGTGTGGAAAAAATACTTAAAAATGTCGTGTCTCTACAACTGTCCGGTAAGCACAGGAGTTGATGGATCAAAATGACTCCCAATTTCAAAATATCCGTTGGTAAAGATGTTTGTTGCAATACGAACCAAATAACATAACACTGAATAATCTATACTCGTTTATTCGACCTGCATGGGAATACGGCCTGGAGAGTCCTCTGAAAGTCATTGACAGTCTCCAGCTAGTCTAAGTAGTGTACGCGTCAGTCCTCTAGTCAGTCTAACCACAGCGGAATTAAGCACTCCAGTTTGTCTAAGTCATACACATGTATGATTATGCAATATAGCATAATGGCCTCGGCCACTGACAACGTCTGCGCAGGAGGCTACACTTACATGAGTTGAAGGATTTTGTGGATGGAAAATTCGAGTGTGAATTTTATACATTTATTAAGACCTAACAGGAGCAGTTGTGAAAAATAAACCTATAGGTCCCAGGCAGGAATTGAACCTGTCCTGCGTTTCCGCTGCAGTGCTCTAACCAACTGAGCTACAGAGGCCAGTTGTCGAGTTCTAACCACAAGTTCATGTATAAATACCAAGATGATGCCATAGTAAGGTGTGTGGGCAAATATCAGGATGTTGGGCACTTGATACAACTAATATTGAAGGATTTCGTACATGGACATTTCTAGAGCAGTAAGGACTCGAACCTGCAATTCCTGCACATGATCCTACACATGATCCTACATCCTACATTGAAATTTACTGTCTTAAAACACGTAGCTTTATGTCCTTATAAGCAAGTAACTTAGAGAATATTGCATAAATATATCAAATGATATCCTCTCATGCATTGCACGTGATCTGAGATATGTCTTAATTCTGACAACATAGTTACTGTACCACACAAAATATGGGATAGTTGATTTTGTTTCAATTAAATTGATCACAGTTTCTCACAAGCCAATAATGACAATATTTTGAAAATGAATTATTTGCTCACAATTAAGGACTAGATTGTGGCATATAATGGATAAATCCAATTGTTTGATAGATTATGCAAAGAGTTGTTTCCATAAATTTTATAAAATTTACAAGCATGTGTTACATGCATGCATTCTAATGAGCCTGCAACCTGTCAGCACAAATTAATCATGTTTCACACACAGGAACATCAAATACATTTTAAGAATTTTCTGAAAAATAAATACTATTTAGATATGACTCATTTCGTTATCAAGGTAGCTTTTTGATTGTGGCGTTCTTAATGTCGATGACTCATGCCAGTTTCCTTGAGCCAATTAAGTAAATGCTTTACTTCTCTTTAGAGTTTTAAATTTAGTTTATGAAAAAACTACCACTACTGAGGCACTAGTACCATAATGATTGAATATGGCAAACTTTTGGCCCTTATTTTTTTCTTTTGATTTGTTAACAGTGTCTAAAAACACTCAAACTTTGCTGGTTAACCTACTGTAGAAATAACCTTATTTGGGTTAACTTAATATTCCTAATAAACTTCCTGATTATTTTATCTCACAATTAAGCTTTGGTTAATGTAACCTGGAATCTGGTTATATTTGACCAGGATATGCTGGTTAAATAAACCAAATTATGTTATGGGGATAAATAACCAGGGGCCACAGGTTCCACCTATGTACAGTAGCATAGCCTGGTTAACCTAACCAGGATATCCTGGTCAAATCATCACACAAGACTAAAATAACCAGGCAATTGAACAAGGAATATTAAAGCCGAATAGGGTTACTTCTAGGTAAACCAAGAAAATTTTAAGCAGAATGTTTTTGGAGTGCATATACATTATCTACTCTTTCCTCATGATTGCATCATAATTATAAGTCTCACCAGCCTTCAGTTTGGTAGTAGTTGTGGTCAGACATTTAAAAATCTCAATGTTGTTGGTAGTTGGAACATTCATCAAACCTTTATTTAGTTATATTAGAGCTTAAAATGTCCGCTATGACATAACAGCCAACTCTCAATCTTGTTTGACAGGGACTGATACATGGTGGTCAAATGCAGTGTGTGTATTTGAATTATTTTGAAGAATTGTGTCTTTAAACTTTAAATGAATAAACTACATGAACAGCTAGCCAAAGTCATGAGACTGCCAACTCTCATGCACTCTCATCCTTGTTTTATCTTGGCTTAACTTATGAATATAAAAATGCAAAAGGACTTCAAAAGAAAAAAATGCACCTTTTCTCCTCAATTCCCAGTAAAGCTACACATCCTACCACTTCCAGTGCCAGCAACCTTGAGACCAATGCCTACCCTTATTTTAGTCTGTCTCATACCAGACAATTTTTACTTATCAAGATGCTTGTACATTACTGTAATGGGTTAAATGGCTAATGTTTAATATGATCGGCACTCCACCTCAACTACAGTATATTAGATTTCTATATTTAGGATCGTGCAGTTGTTTACATTACCATAAAGCAACCTGGTATATGAATTGGAAAGATGTAACCCTGCTTTTGTGGGTGACCTGAAATACAATCTCGCACATGCCATAATGGCAAAGTCAATCTATACACATGCTATCCGATACAAGCCTGAGGGTACAGTACTCAAATTTGTTATGGCATACAGTATTATCAGATGTTAACGAGTTACTATAAATGTTTTTAGTATAACTATTAGGTGATTATTGATAATTCTCCACGCTGATTGGTTGCCGTTAAGGTGATTATAACACAATAATCACCTAAGCAATTTTCGAAAAAAGGCGGCCAAAGCCGTTTTATCAATTAAATGACAAAGAAATCTGTATTTTTCATTTTTTTTCCCAATAATCACCTATGAAATTATACTAAAACAATTATTCACCAATAATCACCTTGCCTTTGGCAAATAATTGTTAAATAATACTGTACACTAAGCCAAATGAATATATGCTTACAGATTGTAAACAATTAGAAAAACATGCAGTGTCTTGAATTAGGTTTGCTATTATTGTAACAATTGCTATAAAAAATTGAAAAACTTGCAATGTTAAAAAATCATCACACCATCCTAAAAAGAAAAGGGTAGGGGAGTAATGAAATATATTCCTTGCTTTATTAGGCATGCAGTGGTCTACATTCATTTTCTTTATTCATAATCAATGCATAACACATGTAGTTCCTACTTCCTTGAACCATATATGTACAAGGATACAGTTTTCCCAAAACATTCAAATGTTAATTTTGTAAGATGCAAAAATATTATGTGACTGGGAGAAAATGACTGAATATTATTATTAGCACCATTTTGTTTCCAACAAATGTTGTTATTGTACCTCTAGTATAAAATATTATTAACCTAGATGCAGTTAAGCTATTGTATTGGACTTCTGCAGTAGATAGTCGCTTATGCTTTATAATTTCTATTGAAATATTATGTATAGTGTAGGAATTTTATATTATATTTTCCATAACAACTCAATCTTAGTCAAGGTATGCAATAAATCTCACTTCTTGATAAGCTGACTCGACAGAGGCATGTACCTTAGCATGTGTGTGATATACATGCCTCTCATGGAAATGAGCTTTGGTTGATGGTAGGGGTGCACCGGAACTCGGTTCCGGCCGATTTTTTAGAGTTCCGATTCCGGCCGGAACTAGTAAAAAAAGCATGGCCGGAACCGGAACACTGTTGTTTTCAGAGAGATAGAATATCAAACGTTTTTGTGTCTAACAAAAGGTCAGAGTAGGAAGAAATTTGGACTACGCAAGGGAAATGTACACTACTAACACTTCATTATGACGTTTAACGCTTGTCAATCTTTTTATTCTAACATTTGCGAGCTCTCTCCTTTATGACTTGAAGTGTCTGCCTGTCTGGCAGTGGACAAAGTAACATATGACTATATATGGCTTAATAAATTAGTTCCGGTTCCGGCCGGAACTTCCGGCCGGAACTTTTTTCCAGTTCCGGTCGGATCCGGTTCCGGCCAGAACTTAAAAAACTGGTTCCGGTGCACCCCTAGTTGATGGGATCAGTGGGCCCAAATATAAAGTTATTCAATCAATCTATCTTTAATTCATTACTCCTATTCCAAAGATGGCCTGAAAATTCATTTGGGTACAGGGTATGTACGCCATCAGTTCAGAGATAAACAGCAGAGTTTTTGTGGGAAATACAACTATATGAAAATACAAAAGGAACTTCAACTCCTACAAACCTCTGTGGATTGTATATAATCAGTGATGACATAGTAAAGCCTCTATAAACCTCCTGACAAAACCTTTCTTCCAAAACAATACAGTGTTTTTTAATCTTTTTAGGCAGTTCAGACACCATGACTGGATCAGGTTTGGTAATTATGCACCTGAGATTGGGTAATTCCACAAAACATCCATAACTCCCCCTTGGAAGTTAACCCCCCCCCTCCCTGTATCCCTTCAGATGTCCTAATACACTTATAGAGCTTAAGCAAGCAACGTTTTTTGTCAACAAGAACGTCACCAAAAAATTGGTATAACTCTAAATCTTGACGGCATCTCTGCATCATAGCCCTCATGCAAGGTAGCAAAATACTACAAATGTCATATGTGTTGAAGGTTACAACAAACTGGCAGTTTTTAATCCCTCCTCGGCAATCTGACATCTGTGTTGACAAAAACGTCGCTTGCTTCAGCTCTTTTTTTTTAATCAGAAACAAATTTTTCTCCCCTCCTCCACATGGCAATAATTCCCTGTGTGAGGGGAATGTGCATCTTTTCTGGAACAATCCATTTCAAAAGATTTAATAGTAAAAATATATGATCATGATAATTTTAGTATGATTTCTATTGCAGCTGCCTTATTCTCTGGTCTTGGCAACTACAAAAGACGCTTAATTCCCAGTCTGTTTGGTGGCTATTAGTATTAACATACAGTGCAATTAATAATAAACAGTCTCAGTGTTCCTACGATAATTGGTGAGGTGCCAGGTGGTATAGAGTGGGATATTATCTATGAACAACTGGAAACAAGTTGTCTAGTCATTAATGTGCCAATGTTTAATATAAAACAATATATTCCTAAACAATTATGAATCAAGCTGTATGAATAATTATCTCAATGATGGCCAATTATATGACAACCAAACATCTTGTAATTTCTTGTGGAAATTTTACAGAAAGAATTTCTATGAGAACCTTTGTTAACACTTTGTCTATTGTGAAAGATATACAACTACGGATAATGATAAGAGATGTACCAGCAGTTTTTAATGTCTAGACTTTAGTCTCCATTCTAGTTTTTTAGCTCACATGTTTTGAAATTCCATATCATAATTCACTGACCTCATATCTCGTTGAGACGTCTTCGTTGCTGAGATCAATTTCTTTACACAGTCAAATGTCTACATTTTCATGTAGTGTTGAATATAATACCTTTTGTTTATTAGTGTTGAATAGTTTTAGTTGACATAAAACAAGTTTCGTTCTAAAGTATAAATAAGTCAATGTAGTATTTTGTTTTCTGCAGTAATGCGAGCCTTCGTTGTGTAGAAGAAGCGTGGCAGCGGCTGTACTTCCTGGCGTCGCGTCGACTGTAAACTTTGCATATAAAAGGAAACGGCAAGCTTTGTGACTTGCTATATTTACGTTAAACTCTTTATTATGATTTTCTACGTTCCTGAAATGTCCCAAACATCACAATACCTTTCGTTTTCTTGAAATACAAGGAAGAAATTTAATCCCTGAGAGATCGTTCATTCACAATTTGTCACCGGAAACGGATCATATTTCTAAATTTCGACAAAAACAACAGCGATAAGAGAAAGTAAATATTAGCACAAAAAAATCTTATTGAGTCATTCACTGATGCCGCGCTGCTCGCTCATTGTGAAATTAATTTAGTTTGGAATTTTTTTCGGCCAAATTAACTTGTTAAGGCAACCACATTGTATTGATAGAGGAAATGCGAATTTGAATAGTTTTGGAATTACTCGGGATTTGTGTTATTAGGAAATTCTAATCTTCTAACGTATTTCGATTTTGCACTTGTTGCGTCGTGCTACTGAGGGTCCCCTCCCTGGGTGCCATGTTGTTATCTGCACGGATGGAGCCGCAGGGCCTAGTGTTCATGAAGATTGTCTAGACTTCTGGCTCTGGTACTCGAAACAAGGAGCCAAGATGTCGTAGATGTCGCTTCTTCCTAACACAACTACACTTCTGTTGTGTGAATAAGCTATGGGAACGAACCATAGTCGACATTGTGAAAAAATAAGCATGAGCGACGAAGATTTACTTGCTCGTTTGGCTACGGCCGCTTATAAAGGTTGTGAAAGAGATTTGAAAAATTTATTGAAAGCAGGCGCTTTTAGATTTATAGATGATTTTACAATGCGTGGCAAGTCAGCTTTACATAACGCCGCAAGAAGTGGACAATGTTCCTGTGTTAAAATCTTACTTGAACATAATGCTTATGTGAATATTGCTTCGTATGATCGTCGAACACCGCTCATGGAAGCGGCAGAACAGGGGTATACGGAGTGTTTGATAATGCTTTTAAACTACGGTGCTGATCCAAATACTGTATCAACAGATCAAATGACTGCTCTACATTATGCCGCGAGAAACGGCCATTCTGATTGTGTTGAGAAACTATTACAAAGTGGTAGTAATGTAAATGCTATTGCCTCGGGAGGATGGACATCTTTACATTTTGCAGCAAGACATGCACATTCAACTTGTGTCAAGTTACTGCTTCAATATAACGCTCAAGTCGAGCCGCCGACAACTAAAAGAGTAAGTTCATATGTCGTTTATGTTTACTTTTACAAGTTTATGTCATTCAATGTTAGTTTGTACGCTGCGCATGAGAATAGCTCGAGAGTGAGAGGAAAGAACGAGCTTGTTGTTACGATTGAAGTGTCGATCATTGCCTATTTCAACCCAGATGGCCGCATTCTTCGCATCTTTTGTGCTTAATACACACCGCCGTTTATTTCGTGCTTATCTACGTGTCTGCATGTTCGAACTAACTTCGTGTTTGATCAAATATCGTTTGTATTAAACGTAAGATAGAATAGCACTACATGATTGCAATAATTACTCTTAAATCTTCGTGACAAACAATCACAGATATGGAAATAATAACTTATATCGAAATTCGCACCTCGCCATCCATTTTTCTGACTATATTGAGATAGAAGCGAGGAAAAATGCATGTAAGATTTTACGACAAGGATTGTGTTTGATTTCAGCGTGTTATTTTTGTTCCAATTTGTTTATATCTAAGCACCCGCCATGAGATCTGAATACGCTTAGCCAACCCACTATTTGACGCCATAATGTCCGCGATATTTCGTATTTCGTTATAATTGAGTATTTATCTCACTATCTTGCAATTTCCCCGTTTCATGTTATTAAGAAACTTCTTTAACAGCGTAAGAGACAGCAAGTCTAGCTTGTGTAATATGCATGGTTGAAATAGCGCGTTGTCAAGTAGAACGAAAGGTTAAATTCTTCATTGTGCAAGCAATTCCCATGAGAAAACGAACTAGAAAAGTTGACGTTTGCTTATGTATAGAAAGCAAACATTCAAAACATTGATTTCATTTCATTTCTATCATCATGATAATCGCATTCAGCTACATTTCAATGTTTTTTCATACGATAGTATTGACCTCGTTCTGTTTGCATTTCTCTTTTGACAAGCACTTGAGATTCGTCGCAAAAAGAACAGGTTGTCGGAATGCGTGTATTTTTATAGAAATTTTTGTTTCTCACACTGAGCTCGACATGTTTTGTCATGTTTGTAGCTACAAAGCTGTCATTATTTCTCGTTTTATCTCGCAGTGAAAATACTCAGACTTGACGGCTACGTTCGCTACAAATCGTGTATCACACACAGATTTTCTCCTATATTACTCACTTGGTGGTAAAGCCTACAACAGCAAGTTCCCTGTGTGTATGTTTGTAAATAACCTAGTATGAAGACGAAATAAATGAGCTCAACTCACAGAAACTAGCCCAATTCAGGAAAGATTTAATTTATATTTTATTGCAAAACAACAAGAAGCAAGCTCGTGTATCAGATGCGCATTCCTCGCTTGTATAGTTTATTACTCGTGCAATATGTAATAATGCTTATGCTACCGTGTACAAAGACACTCAATTTAAAGTTTTCCGCACTTGAATTGTTTTGTAAGTATTTAAATATGTTTGAAGTGAGAAACATTTGTTTTGGTGCACAACGTTTGCTTCGTATGTTGCGAAGGCGCCCGCTAGTCCATAATCCTTCCGAATATCTCCTCAAACACGCGAGATATTTATCTTCACTTGTCTTTTAAACCACGCTTGGCACTCATTTCATTTCAAAAAAACGCCTGATAATGTACATTATTCTTAAGTTTATTCTCTAAAAAGTGATGGGCATCTAGGATTTTTTAATATTTTCTCTGCAATTGCGATCAAATTAGTAATCTAGACCTTTCATATAATCATTTCCGTTGTGAGTTTGATCAGATAATACCTCAGCTTAGCCGTTGGATTGACACTTTTCAAATGTGTGCAATGTCGTGCAAATTTTATATAATCAATATGTCTTATTGATTGAAATGATGTTATATAAAGGAACTGCGTTATAGTTTGTTTGTCTATGTGCTCAACCTTGCCAGTTTATTACATGAACTTGCCGAGTTTGCTTGAGCATAGCAAAGTTATTAAATTAAAGCAGATCAAATAATGAATGCTATTTACATTTCTCTTGTCTTTCATATCAAATTTTGAATATTTTCAGGTCGCTTCTCCTGTGGTCTAAATGCCCCATTCATGTGGAGCGAAATAAGAGATGAAAATGAAGCGTTATCTTCTATGTACTAACTTATTCGCATTCCACAAACAATAAATCAAGCAAAATAATTTTATTGACACTTTTGACAGCAATGTATTCAATGTTAAAACAGATTTTTACATGCATACATGCAATCTGCATTACTTGCAATATAGAAACTTCTCAAGGATAATGGGCCAATGGGGGATGCCGTATAACTAAATTTGTGCCATACTTTCGAATTTCATGTTAACCTGAGGTTAAGGCTTAAATTTGTGGCTTTGGTTACAGGCAATCAAATTTTAGAATTTAGGGTCAAGATAAAATATGTGCTCATATTTCAAAAACATGCTTTTATTATTTCAGTACTTAAGTATTCATGGATATTTCCTTCATGAATGTTAATGTTTGTAGGTAAAAAAAAGTATATACATGTTTACTAGAATTCATGGCAGATTTCATAAAACAGTGCAATTGATAAGAGACAAGTATAGACAATCTAACAAGCATGAACATAAGTTGTTTATTACTGAATTATGTACGACCAAAGACTGCCTGTAAACATATTAATTAAAGCAGCTTCTCTGTATTGTATAGCATGGCTAGTAACATACAGTATTTATGCAATAGTTACCATCCCAATGTCACCAGGCTTAACAAGAGGGTCAGAATTATATTTACAATTTAAAACAATTCACATGCATTGAGATATGAGGCTGTGTCAAAACAGCAGGGGAAGCTGTCTTTCATTGCCACATTTAACATTAAATTCATAAAGCTGTATCTTACCATATTAGAAACAAATGTCATTGAATCCATGCTCAATATGGCTTGCATTAGCTACACAATATGGTTAGGAAATGTATGGTTCAAATGGTTACAGTATTAACAATATGGTTAGAAACTGGGCAAAATATAAGATGAAACATGAATATTAACATCTTAAACTCAAGATTTGAGCTATTTAATAAACAAGATAACAAAATTCAAGGTCATATTTCGACTTTATTTCAAAGTCATTGTCATAACTGATTATTTACAAGCATGCTGAAAACTGGGCAAGTTCAGTGATGTGGACAAGACATGTACATACAGTGTATATACAGTTATTCAAAAAAAGTTGTCCTTTGCAAACCTTAAACTCTAAGTGTGCAAAGCATAATGGCAGCATCATTTAATATGTTTAGAAATCATATATGGGGCCCATTTCTTAGAGACATGGTAAATATCTCCTTACAAGAACAATTCATTGACAAATAGCTGCAATATTCAACTACTAAGCTTGAAACTTGTGCTCCCAATAAGCTTTGCACACCTAGAGAGTTTAGAGTTTATGGTTTGCCAAGGACAACTTTTTTTGAATTGGCTGTATATATTTACAAGTACACATTATATGTACATATTGCATGGTGAAAACTCTGTTGGCTGTTTATGACCTTAAAATTATGGGAACCACTGAGTATTTTTGTGAAATACAAAACAAATAGAGTAACTCTGAACACAGTAAAATTTTCCAAATTGTTTATTTCTGCATTTCCACTAGAGTGGAGTCATCTTCAATAAAGTTGATTATTTACATGTTCCAATAACAAAATGCACAGGATTGAAGGGTTAATTAAACTATTTAGATCTTTTATAAACACGACAGAGGATTAGCACATCTTCAGCTTTTGTCTTTTTGATAGTTTTCATAATACTTATGTAAGACCAATACCATAGTTCCGATGCTGGAAGAATAATGATATCAAAGAAATTAGGCATCAACTTGGTTCACTTTGTATTCATCCTAAAAGCTTTGATGGAAATAGGATTTGCATGTGTCATTTTATTTAGTGCAGGGTTTTGGAACTAGGGGCTTTCTGCCATTCTCTGGGAGTATGTGATTGAGATTGTATTGTACCCTATGTAATTGCTACAGTACTATGCCATTTATTGCCCCTATAATAAGATACTGTATGTATTGATAGAAGTATTAGTATTTTATATTTCTGGTTGATATACTAATCATTGGTTTACACTATCAAAGTTTCTGTGATCACAGTAGGAATTTTGCTTGGGTAAATTCTACGTTTTGAAGGATTTGTAAGAAATTTTTGAGGGAATTTGACCGCTGATCTGAAAGGAACTGACTGAACTCACAGAAACTTTGACAGTGTAATGGTTTACATTCAACATAAATTTTGAAAATATGACTGGTTGATATAACCTCTAAGATAAAAGGTGTGTTTTGCCTTTTACCAAAACTGGTTGTACATCTGCATTACGTTGTTATTTTTAGAAATGATAGCAGCACATATTTTATAACTATTTCAAGAATATGAATATGAGTTGTTATCATATGATGTTATCATCATACTTTGAATGTTTTTGAATGTGTTGAGAATATAATAATTATCCTATAAAATGTTAGGTGCAAAATTAATGCAAATCTTATATTGAACAAGTACATGTTGATATTAAAAAGGTAAACAACTGGAACATTAAGGTAGTTCGCACAATATCTGTGTAGCGAAGATACTGTACGTATAAAGCCATGTTGTGTGACAAATTTACACTGCCCACTTATCAAGTGGGAGGATCATGTCTGGGGTAAATCATAACAGAACTATATGAAAGTTATTTTAGAAGAAATGTTATCTTGTGTAAAAATCTTGAATGGTCTGTGCCAGGGAGTGCCAATAAAAAGAAGAAATGCTTCTACTAGAATTACATTCATATCAATTCTTTATCTATCTGTTGTAAACTTGCTTTTCATTGGTAAACCATCTACTGTAAGTGTGTTGACTTAAGTATAAAAAATGAAAGGGAAAATGTTCTGTACTGTACTAGTTTGCAATTACCAAGTCTTCCTTACATGTTGCACATAGTCCTGTATCATGAAAGATCTACTTCTTAAATAATGTAAGAATGTCTATTCTGCATAGGCACATCTTCCACTGAAGATAATGTTCAACTAGTTTCTATAGTCGTGTTTACACTACAAGCCTTGGCTTTGGCCAGGCCAAGGTAAATGTGGCACGTTTACACCATTACACTATTTTTTTGAGACTGGCTTACTTTGGCCTAGAATTTTGTAATTAATTTTGTCTATTTTATGTGTTGTGACGTTGTCCGCTGGTTGTCCGCTAATCTCTCACTGTGGACACATGTTGCCATGAAAATAAGGCCAGGGCTGAAAGTGTTTCCATTTCCAAGGCCACCGGTTGTAGTGAGCCCAGATTTCCTGGCCTAGATCAGGCCAAGGCTAGGCCAAAGTCTGTTTACACTGTCAAATTGTAGACCAAGGCCAGGCCAAGGCTTGCAGTGTAAACGTGACTTATGTTGTCTGGCAATCTAGCATCTATCAGTAGTGGAATGTTGAGGTGAAACTGCAGAGGCGACCATTTCTAACATACTGATTAGCAATTGAAGGGATTTGTAGATGGAAATTTTGAGTGTAATTTTTACACACTTATTTATAGACATAACCATTACCTTACTTTATTATTTTACTCTGTCTAACACCAGACAAATTCACTTGTCAAGGGGAGTGCTGCCACATTTGATTCCTTTTTTTTTTGCCTCACCCTGGATGAACAATGTCTTGCATTATCAAACCAGAATACTAGGTGTCATCTCCAGTCAATTGAATGAGTTAACCATTGACTTGGTTACCGTATTTACTTCTTTAAGTGCTATGGCACTTTTTAAACTTTTTCTCGAATGATTCCATTTGACAAATGGGGAGACAGTCTGGCACTTAAATGAGTAAATATTGTCGTCTACTACATGCATGCTTGAGTAAATGTGGTCTCAATCACTCGATAAAGGATGAAAATTCTGGGTATATTTTAAACATTCATAATCATTTTAAATTTTGTTGTTTTTAGTGTATAGGTTCCCCACTGCAACATGCAGCATCACATGGTGATTCCTCGTGTATAGAACTTTTATTGAATGCTGGGAGTAATGTAAATAGTACTGATGAAAAAGGATGGACACCGTTGCATTTTGCTGTATTTAAGGGAAAGTTACACAATGTGGAAACTTTGATCAGGTATTTGGTTTATTTTGTCAATCATAGACTTTATTGACATGATTTGCCCATGTAGGTTACAGCGGCAAGCTGCCAGGGAGCCATACCCCCCCCCCCCATCCTCCAAGGGATTTTTGGTGGCCACAAAATGAAAATAATTGTTTACAATTCTTAGCTAGACTTTTGCAAACTCCTTTTCCAATGACTCCTCAACTTCACTGACCCCTTAAAAGATAGTGGAAAAAATTTGAAGCAGACTTATGGCAACTCTGTATATACAATGTATATTCTGTTCATTATAATTTATAATTTTGAAGCAGTGGAACCATCTGTGGGGACTTAACTCCACTGCAAATTGTTTTGAGATGATATCCCATTCTCATTAAAAATGATAGTTTGTTGAAGACTTGATCAAAATTTCATTTATTCCTAGGAACAAAGCTTTATCGTTCCCTAAACAGGACTAGATTAAGATCTCCTGGACAGGTTATCATAACTTACTTCAGTATAGAGTTGTATGTTTGGATAATTTCATCATAAATTGATTCACAGCATGAAAATTTGTGATTGTGCTTTACAAGAAAACAGATCACCACATCTTGAATTAACTACAGTCCTTTCCATTCAAGCCAAACCAGGCAGATTTTTACTCGTTCTTTCATATTTTAATTTCTATATTAATTAACCGTTTAATTTTTACATAGGATGAACAGATTTGTACTCGTCGTTTCATATTCATATTTTAATTTCTATATTAACCAATTAATTAGGTTCAACTTTTACCCTGGATGACTAAGTATAAAATTGGTTAGACGTGCTGCAGACCAAACATGTAATTTTGAACTGTGAAAAGGGTTCAGTTTTGTGGTTAAACGTAATGGCGTGGAAATAATTCTCCTATTTCTACTAGTGTACGTGACCGTGTTGACGTAAACACTACTGGAGTACCAGGATAGTGATTTCTTGACCCTTTCTAAAATTGCCTGAAAAACTACAAAACTACAAACATGTTATACCAATAAATAGACATTTTTAGGAAGCTTAAAAAATCACTATCCAATGGATAGCGTTATCGCGGCCTTCGACTTCGTACAAGTGACCCTTGATGTGCCCCATGGCATGCTATCTCCATTTCAATGAAAATCCACGGCAAATTTACAACTTTGTATTTTATTGTAGATATGGTGCAGACGTGAATGCGGTCACATCCTATGTTGAACGATCATCGTATAAAGACACTCCTTTACATATCGCGTTATTTTATCGCTTTCACGACTGCGCGTTAAGACTTATTCAAGCTAATGCTAAGTTAAAATGTCGAAATGAACCGAATGGTGAAACTCCTATTGATTTAGCGAGAAAACGCCAGCTATTAACAATGTACAGATACATGGAGAATATCTCCCGGACTCCACCGACTCTTAAAAGTCAATGTTGTTCTCAGATTCGTCAGAGTCTCAAACCAGACGTTGTTACAAGAGTGAAAAAGTTATCAATCCCTCCAGAAATGGAAAATGCGATTCTCTATCCAAAATTCTCGAAGCTACAGGAATGAATGAAGGCGAGATAATATATGGTGGCAAGGTCTGAGCCAAGTAAGGAATCCCATTTCCAAGCTTGGATACCATCCCAGATGCTGCATTATAGCAGCTTAATGAAACAACAACATCATTCATTTCAATGTTCAATGAAGATACACAACACAACATGTAACCTTTAGTGGAAATTATATCCGAAGTTCGTGTATTTTCTGGTGAAACCACGTTAAAACCCCCAAAGTGCTCTTTAAGATGTCTATTTTGGAAAAAACTAATTGTTGGAAAAATGCAGGAGTTTATATTACATAAAGAAAATTGAAGCCACAGAACTGGCAAATTGAAGAAAGGTCTACAGAGTTTATATCGTACTGTTCTCGTGTATATCTGGGCATTTCAACTTCGTTCATTCGTTTGTATCATTTCCACTTTATATCATAAGTAAAATCAACAATTTGAAGTGTCCAAGTATACTGTATGTGAAACGAAACTATCAGGTGGTGAGCGTTGTTTCCTGCAAGTGTAAAATTAACCTCCGTGTAGTAAAAAACTTTTTTAACAACAGCTCTTACTCAATGCCGGAGATCCTGCGAGGTTAATTAACCTCTGTTTAATGAAAAACCTCTTTAACAATAGTAGTTACTAAATGAGATTTGTTTTATTTAGAGCATTAAGATATTTCCGCGAAAACGATAGCTTAGGGAAATACAATACAAAAATAATATTTAAAAAATAGCATGTTGTCATCTCAAAAAAAGTAAGTACAAAGCAAAACAAATAAATATTGGAGTTTATTTGTTTGTTTTTGTTTCAACGCGAATATCGAAATGACACGTTGTTATTCAGGATGTGTTTTATTTTTCACACATTAATTCGGGATGTGTTTTATTTATTACAAAAAGTCGAGCCTATTTCGTCGTTCTGCTATCTGTAGACTCATCATTGTTTAATGTTTAGACCACTTCAGAATCCCGTTTACAAAAAAAAGAGAATTGTGGTTGTTCCTAAAAGAATAAGCCAGAGCCAATTCGTCTAGTCGTCATGGTGGCGACACTCCGCTTTAGAAAAAAAACCTAGAAACCTTTTTAAGAGGTTTACGTGCGTTTAAAATTCCTTGAAGATTTGCTTCGTGGCCAAGATTGCAAATTACACATCGTGGCCAGTAAGGTGCTCGAAATCATTGATAGACGCTTGTCTGTGATGGAAATTCTTTATATTCCGTGTTTTGACTATATTGATTGCAATAAACACTTTTGGTTTCTCAACCAAAAGCAACTAAACTAAATACTAGAAATTTAGAAATTTTTAATGTTTTGAAAATCGGCCACTAATATTATGGAAAAAGTAAAGTAACGATCACAATTTTCAAAGTGATTTGAAAAGGTAGGTCAGTTTTGTTGGATCAAACTGTTAATTTCTGTGCTCTAGTTTGTCAGTCTTACTAGTATTTTATATGCGTGTTTGAAAAGCTTAATTTTACACTTGTTTGGTAACCCTACGTCACCACTTGATTTTGGTACTAGCTTCTATACGATGTCATTCAGGGTAAAATATATCGCGCCAAACAAATATTTTGCAAGTATTTGATATTTGACATTTCAGAAAGTGTCACGCAATGTTTTCCCTGAGCGGATTAAATCGTTATTCATTTTAACGCCTCTGTAGGCTCTGCGTTGTTTTATAAGATCACGTGACACGGGTAGTAATCACCGTCATTCATGTAAATCTATTTTTAATGTGTCTTTTTAACATCAATCTACTGGCTGATCACGTGATCTTATAACGTGCCTGTTATCTTTGTTCGGGCATTCCATGGCATTCCAACGTCAACACATCGCGTATTGATTTATTAAATCCAAGTTATTCCACGAAAATTCTACAATCTTTCTGTCTGAAAGTTAAAAAAAATGCTTCTAGTCACTATTTGCATTGTTATCCGGCTAAGTCGTTAATTCATGTTGTTGTCAGCATGACGCAATAAGAATTACTGTTCCGATTATCTCCATAAGTATGACAGATCGTTTTCTAACAAGAAAGGATTTGTATTTCACTGTGAAACATATTTCAAATGTTATCATGGCATGGTATAGTAAAGTAATTATGAAATCAGGTTCTTGTAAATCTACCGCTAAAACATTGCCAATAGAGAGCATTAATTTATGCATCAAAAACAGCAGTGAAATATTAACCTTTCTTATTTGAGAACGTTATGCTTTTGTATTTCTGTGGCGCTTCACCTCAAAAAAAAGCAGGAAGGATCGGATGCGTATTGTCTTGTAAAAGTAATTGGCTGAGGCGACTTCAAGGTGGCTTCTTTCGCAAGAAATGCAATGAAAATTATCACTTCACTTCGCACGAAAACAGTCGCCTAGTAGGAAACGAGCTGCACCTCCTATTTCATCCAGCGTTTCGTTGAGGTCAGTTAGTCCAGTCATGTGTTCGGTCATCTAATATCCCTGAGTGCCTGGCCTAACATATGAACACGACATAATATATTGGAGCATTAACATTTAGTCCAACCCATCTTGCGTTAGTTTCCTGTTAATTTCTGGGAGTGAGTTTAATTCCAGGCAGTGGAGTTATTTTGAACCCATTTTTACTCAAAATTAGTCCACTGGGAGTTAAATTAACCCCCTGAAATTAACAGTGTTGTCAATTCAAAAATAGCGTTTCTCGTGTTTCTGAAGCGCGAAGAGTTTATTCCTTTTTGGAGAGGTGTGCGTGGACACTTTGCCTTTGGAATGCTTTGTGGAATGCCCGTTTTGGCAAATAGATTAGTATACTAACATAGACAATCCAAAAGATTTATTTCTTGTGGATTGTCTATGATTAGCCCAATAATTTTGCATTGTTCATTGTTGAAAGAATGTTTTAATGACAGAAATGTATTCAAAAATTTTAACCCATCCATAACTACAAATGTACAGAAAGTCTTGTAAAAACAAATAACATTAAATGTACAGTTGACATATTGTCTTCATAATATGAGCTATATTATTCTTGACTAATAATGCCGATGTTTCTACGGTGAAACTGGATATGAAGAGGTTTTGTGTTTGGTTGGCTATGACTGATTCGTTCTTTAGAAAATCTAGACTGTACCTGCAAACACGTAGTAAGCCAATCACAAAACACATTCATTTTATAAGATGGTGAGATAGGCATGGTGCCCAATTTTGGGCACCACATCTGATCATGTTAGATCTAACTCACTGATGATATCTGATCATGTTAGATCTAACTCACTGATGATATCTGATCATGTTAGATCTAACTCACTGATGATATCTGATCATGTTAGATCTAACTCACTGATGATATCTGATCCTGTTAGATCTAACTCACTGATGATATCTGATCATGTTAGATCTAACTCACTGATGATATCTGATCATGTTAGATCTAACTCACTTATGATATCTGATCATGTTAGATCTAACTCACTGATGATATCTGATCATGTTAGATCTAACTTACTGATGATATCTGATCATGTTAGATCTAACTCACTGATGATATCTGATCATGTTAGATCTAACTCACTGATGATATCCGATCATGTTAGATCTAACTCACTGATGATATAAAATTAAGGTGATTCCGAAAAATATGTGCATATTAAATTACATTACATGATTGATTTTAACAGTATATTTTGAATCAATTTCTATTTATTTTCAGCAGTTTATTATTATTATGTATACCTCTATATATGCATTAAATATACTGCTGCGGATTCATCGAAATTCATTTGAAAAATGCAGGGGGCATCGTGATCTTAATTCAGTCAAAGAAAGGGAACACGCCTATTAGGGGCAAAAAATTAAAATGCTAAAATAAGAGCGAGCTTGATCCAAAATCTCTAAATTCTTGTTTATGGTAGTTAAGTGACTAGTCCCGTTTTGATTTTTACCAAGCATTTTTACCTCAATTTAATCTATAACACATTTTTGAGAGCGCTCCAAAATAATGCTGATGTCAGCAATTTTGATCTTCAAGAGGAATCTGAATCGTTTAAATTCAAAATTTTGGGATAATGTTTGTTATAATGACATGCAAAACATATAAAACACCCAGTTTTGTGACTCTGGTTTCAAGTGAAACCCAAGCATTGTGTGGTGTTCATTTAGGAATTCAATCCCCCGGCCCATTACCGCGCTTCCAAATTTCACCCTCTATGCTCCCTCTACTGAGTGTTGTTTAGAATCTCTAAAGCAGTTGTGTATTATAATCTATGATTATAATTATGAACCGAATAACCTGCTGCAACTGTGAACCGCAAAGGATCACTGATGATAGGAACGCGAAAATATCGTCGTTGGCAGTACGAATAGAGAGGATCAGATTTTACTTCCACTACCATTACGGAACCATTAACGAATCAGATGGGATTAATATATCCAATAAACCAATCAGATGCATACTAAGCCAGTGAGAGGTAGTGGAAGTCAAATCTGAACCTCTAATGGTGTCAGGAAGCACCAATCTGCATCATCTCATTTTATCTCTAGCTTTCCTGGAACGGAGCTAGAGGTTCAGATTTGCCAGTACCTACTTATCGGCATGTAGTAAAAGAAGGAACACCGGAATACCAGAATGCCGGAACACCTGAATACCGGAACACCGGAATAGTATTCTTACTTTTGAAGGACAATTTAAAAAAATATTTCAAGTCCATAAGGAATTTTTTATTTAAGGCGTTTAAACATGAATAAAAAATGTCAATATATATACAGTATTATTCAATCGGCGGCAGTTTAGTAGACCTTATTTACAAGGATATCAAACACACACAAACACTTAATAACGCGATGTCCCACAAGACAATGTTTGGCGACGTTTCATGTAAATGGTGTTACTTGAAATTCGATTGGGTCGGCAACGACTTGCATTACGAGTTGTTGCTAAACATTTTCTTGTGAGACATCTCATAAGTTGTTTTCCTCGAAGGAATACATATATTCGTGTGAATAAAACTAATATCCCAGTTATATTCTACCAGGATTCGCTGATTAATTTAAATTAAAGTCTCGACGTGAATTTGAATTAAGTAAATGTAAACAATACACTAGTACTACTAGTTATTGTGGATTTCAGATCACCTCTCAAAGCGTGGTTCCCTAGTTTGTTTGTTGGTAATTCCCAATTATTTATTAAGTCTTGAGAAATACGTTTAATTCGTTGGCTATATAAGTAAAACACTGCAAATTACGAGTTTAAGATCGCTACGTCGGTATTCCAGTTCAGTACTTCGGTATTTGAGCAAGCAACTTAAATTGTAATTCCACGCTCAATATTCCAAATTTAAAAAGCTGAATGGGAATATTCACAACAAACCGGAACCGCGTTTTGAAAAGTGACCTGAAAACGACAATATTACAGTAGCCTACTGTAAGCCTACAGAGTAGCGTACTGAGTAGGTCACTGAAACATAACATAACACAACAACGTTGTGTCACAACGTAACGTAAACAACAAGTAAAAATCCCTATTTTATTCTGTAAAGAATATATTGTCATATGTCAGCCAAATGTCATATATGTTATAACAAAGTCTTGAATTCGATGTCTCTATCTTGCAACGAAATTGAGCCCAAACTCATGGACGAGATAGCATTCATGAACTTCTGTTAGCTGGATGTCGTCAGGTATCACAAGAGAAGATGTTACAAATGACGGTTCTGCAGCTTTAACGCATGCTGCTCGCAGGTGATAATGT